ATAATCTTTCAGCGACACTGGAATACAATTGAAAAGGTATGTGGTGATTATTTACTTTATACATTCTGAATTGTTGCAGTTATTTGAAATAATACGTTGTTTTGTAGATAAAGTAATCAAAAAATTATCATCAAAGCATGTATAAAGTAACCAAATATTAAAAATATAAATGCTACATTTAAAACTTGGTTGCAATATATCACCAACTACGAAAATATTACGCCATGCAGTGAGAACTCAAATTCACCTAGGCAAAATCAAACAACACTCAGCAGGGGTTGCCAATTTGCTTCAGTCTAGATTTTCAGCTTCCTCCTTCTTAAACTCCACTTATACTCGGCCCACACTCAAGCTAATTCAACCCATCTTTACCCACATCACGACCCCACACTTTGACTGTCTGATATACATTAAAACATGTCTTTGAACAAAGACCTACTTCAAAGACTTACGTCTATACATGTTTATACATACTAACCCACTTCAAAGACATGAATTAAGGATTTTTTATGCCTTAATTCAGAAATAGCATGACAAATTATTTCACCAAGTATACACAACACAAATGAATAATAGTACCCCGCAGATCATCTCCATTTAAGCACAAAATCAAATATCCCATTGAAGACAAAAAGCCAAATATAACATAATAATTTTTCCACATCATCATCATTGTTCCTTTTTATACATGTTGATTTGTATTTGTAGCACATTGTTCGCAACTACTTGAAGAGTTGATCATAGAAATGAGGGTCATAGGTCAACCACGCAAGGTTGATCCGTTCTCTTTACCTATTTATAAACCCATCACACGTTCACAAACTAAGGAACATAACATCGACCAAATAGAAATGGGCAGTGGTTATATATGCTTGGTTTGGGATTTTCTTTGTGCCAAACCAATATAGTATAAAATGTTTGATATATAGAGCTTCCCACTCCCTTCGTATTCTTTTACTGAAGGTAGAAGAATAGATTATATGGTGGGCCTTAGAATGTACAACACAAATATTATGAATGCACAAAAGCTTCAACCATTCATACAAAAAATACTACAGATTGTGTGTGTGCGTGTGTGTGTGTATGTAAGAGAGAGAGAGAGAGAGAGGCTCAACTCAAAATGATACGGTAGTTGAAATTCAAAGGACAAACTCCAATTTGCAGAAACTCTTTTATGAAGCATAACAACAATTGTTTGGAAGTTTCCCTTTCCCAACAAAACAAATCCCTCCTCCAATTATCCGGAAAAGAAACTTTTCACTCATGATTATGAATTTAAAGCAACGTATTGAAAAAGACATAACTAAGATAACGATTGACTGTAAAATAAATAAGAACTTGAATTTAAAAGCACCTTGTATTGAAGAACTGTAATAACATCAATTACACTTAATTGAATTGAAGAACAATAATCTTAAACTAAACACAAAGTAATAAAACTAGAGTATGGTTATTAGAGAAATTGAGAAGAAAATTGCAGAGCATGAAAACAAGAGCAACGATCTTAACCGATGAAAAACTATTCTCAAGTGATCAAAGAACTACTCCTCTCTATCCAAAAGGTCTTCTATTTATTGTGTGTGGAAAGGAGATCTTCAATATCTTAATGAATATCTTCTCTGACAATATCTACTATGACAATATCTCCTCTTTCTATTGGTAGAGAATCCCAAAAGATATAGCGAAATCAAACTTCAATTAAAGTTTTCCATCAAAATATGCCTCGACCTACCAGTAGAACATTGATACATGATGACTGCATAATATTACATATTTGACGGCCTTATTACATTCATTTTAGCTTGGTTTTGCAATGATTTATTTGAATTTATTTTAATTTGGAGATTAATGGAGAAATGTGTGATTGCAGGTGTAAATACAAGGTTTTAATCACTTTGCAATATTTTGTGGACAATGGGCAAGAAAGGAACACCAAAGATGAAGGCTTAGGAGTGTTGGAGTGCAAAAAAATCAAAGAAAGCAAAGAGGCACCAATACCTGTGAGAAGAACTACAGGTACCTGTGCTTACTAGAAAATAAGTGCCGGTACCTGAGACCTTAAGTACCAGTACTTGGGACTGTACCTGAACCTTTTCGAAATTTAAATAATAAAGGAGGTATCGGTGCCTTCATCACTAAGTACCAGTACCTGAGCCCACTAGAAGCAGGGTACTAGTACCTCATCACTTGGTACAGATACCTAAAGCCCAGAATTCCCAAGTCACTCTCTCCATAATTTCATCAGCTATAAAGGGTGCTCCTTAGGATGTCTAATCCATGTTTTGACCTTATTAACACTCCACCATGACCCCCTAACCGCTACAATAAGCCTTTAAGCATGAAGGAATGGAGGGAAAACGAGGAGACAAAAGGAGAAGGGGAGTGGTTTGAAAAGACAAGGAGGCCATACCTTTGCTAAAATTGGAAGACATTTTGGACAATCTCTCTCCAATGGGTGGCTCTCAACACTTTGGAGAGTAAGAAGAACCTTATGGACGACATTATGATTATTATTCACCATGACATTCAGATCTTTTAGAGAAAGAAGTTCCAAGAAAGAAGAAGCATAGTTTAAGAGAGAGAAAGTTAGGTTTTAGTATTTTTTTTTTCCTCATTTTCGTCCTAGTAAGTTTCTAAAGCTTGTAATCTTCATTTCTAAACTTGATATAACTTTCATTTTCAATTATGAATGCATTTTGTTAGATTTTCACCACAACATTGGTTTGGGGAAAATCCATTTACAAGTATTAGAGTTTTTGTGCTTTAAGTTCAATGTTTTTGGTGTTTGATCAAGCTTTAAGTTTGTTTATCTCTTTCTTTGGTTAATTTAAGTTAGTAACTATTTTCTTTACAATGTTTTCCATTTCTTTAGCATTTTCATTTCATCTATGTTTGGCTAGAACATTAGTTGGCAAAAATTTAAGGAAGGATTTCCATCCGGGTATGGAAAAATCAATCCTCACACATATTGCCTTGTAGTGTAGTGTGTTGAATTTGACTAGGTAGATTGCAATGTATAGGTTTGTACACATTTGATGCACCGTAAACTTGTTACGAGGCATACTTATTGTTTCTTTAAACATATACGAATCAATCTTCCTATGAATCAATTTAACACCAATAAACACATTTAATAACTCTTAATTTCTAATTCCTATCTTCTGATTGAACAACAATTTTTTTGAGTTCAATTGAGTTATAAATGGGATTGATTAACCATACCCGGTGGAAAAAATTCTGAGAATTAACCAACCATTTTTATTGATAGATTTTCAACCCCGAATCTCACGATTCACCAATACTTTCAAAGAATAATTTTTAAATTTTATTTTTAAAATCACTTTCGAAACACTTGGTCTTAATCTTCCCTAAGAAGATGACCTTGGAACTTTTTTCGAATTAATACACGACACATAAGTCTCCCTGCGCTTGGGGAGAAACTTTTTCATCACTATAATTTTGAGGGTACATCACTCTTGGCACTCACATACATTCCAACATACCCCTAAAACAAACCCACAAGGAAATTAATCAAGCAATACCTACTGGTAGAACTACATTATGTTGCATGACATACCAGTAGAACATTGATCACCTACTGGTAGAACCTTAATCTTCAAATCCTTGTAGCTTCTTCTACTGGTATAAGACCAGTTCACCTATAGGTAGAACATAATCTAGAGAGCTCCACTACCAATACAAAATAAATCCACCTATCGGTAAAATACATTCCAGAAAGCCTTTCTTCCGATAGAACCTAACTTCTCCTATCGGTAATTTACACACTGTCTTCTTTCTTGCCAAGAGAACCCAACTTCTTCTATTTCTTCATGCTGGCCTACTCCTTCTGGTAGGTTGACAACAAGTAGAACCTATTTTTTATGAATTTCTTTTTTAAGGCCTCTAGCTTCACTTCTAATTGATAAAATTCAACTCTAACTTGTCCAACACCATTATCATGATGCTCCATGTCTACTTTTACACTTAGACTACCTACAAACATAAAATTAATGCATTAATGTCAAAACAATCTATGTAAAAGAAGTTAGTCTACTAGCAAACCTAAAGTAAGCATGTTAGCTATAAAACAATGCAAGAATGAGCACTTAATAGCTCATGTGAACTTAATGCCATAAAAGTACTATGCCTGGACTAGAAGACAAAAAAACCTCCAGATGGAATTATGATCAATTTTTGCAAATTAAAATAAGGTATAAGAGAAAGGAGAGAGAAAGAGAGATACAAGAATACAGAGGAGAGAGATGAACCTAAATAAATGATAAATTGGAGAAGACCATTAGAGTTAAAGAGATAAATTAAAGGGATAGATAGAAGAGAGAATAGTGGCACAAAAAAGAAAGAAGAGAGAAGTAGTGGAATTAGAAACTAGAGGTGAGTGAAATTAAAGGAGAAGAGAAATGAAAGAGAGAGAGAGAAGTCTTGAAAAGAGAAGCCTCATCCACTAAAGGCCAAAGTAGGAAATAAAAAAAGTAAATAGACTATTTGACCTATTTACCAAAAAAATCAAATTGTTTGTCTATAATTACTCATAAAGATTACGTTCAGACTTTTTGGTAAAATAGATTATCATATTGTATTTGGTTCCAATTTTCACATAAAAGAAAAAAGAAAAAAAAGATGTGGCAAGGGCCACGCTTTCACCATTTGTTTGGGATTATTCCACTCATATTTGGAACCTATTATCTTAAATTCTTTTTTCGAATTTGATTTCACTATATTAATTATTATTTTTTTATTTTTTGACTATCCATGTTGGAAGGAAAGGTCGAGCAAGCCTACTCGTCCGGACGAAAATACAACTGAAAGGCCTATCTGACGGGATGAAACTGCCGGGTGTCCATTTTAGAGACCAACCATATCGACCGATTGAGGTTGGATTGAGTGACAAATTCAAATTCGAGCCCTGTGGATGTTCGCCAACTAGCTAATTGCATGTTCACTGCCCTTTTCTATTCTTTCAGTTACTGTGACATAATATTATTTAGGACACTCCTTACCCTTTTCATTGTAAGCCAAATGGCCAAATTATGAACACTCTTTGTTACAATAGGAGACCGACTCAAAACAACTCTGAACTCTCTCTCTCTCACACACACACACATTAGCTGGACAGAGAGTAAAACACGGCAGAGTATTGGAGTCCTCTATCGGATCGGATTGAGCATTACAATACTACCAGTTAGCCTTATTCTTAACCTCTTTATCATTATTATCCTTATTATTATTATTATTATTAAAGTGAATTGATTATGTAGGAGTGCATATTGAAAGATATATATAATTAGCTGACAGAGACCGTTGGCCTCTATTAGGTGACAACAACAATTTCCAGTTCCAGGTGAATCATCTTCTTGCTGGATACCCATGTTATATATATATATATATAGAATATACACTGATCAAATACACACATTTAAATATAGTATGCTGCATAAGAGTTTCTTTTTGAATCGTGATAGAATATATGGGGATTGATGGTTGAGAAGAAGCATGTGGGGTTTCCCCCTCTGTCTTCTTTTTTTTTTTTTTTTTGCTTGTACAAAATTCATTTGGACGTTCTTCTTTCGTAATTTTCGTTTAGTCCTTTGATTTTTCCTTTTCCCCCTCCTTTTATTGGAAGAACTTTTAATACAATCTATTGAGGCATAATTGCAAGTTTCAATTTAGATTCAAAGATTCAACTGTTTCTTTCTTTTTTTTCGGCGATCATCCTTACATTGTTGGAATCAATTTGTATCTAAATTCCCATATCGCATAAATCTCCATTTAATGATCCATTCTGCTGTTTTGAATGTCTGAATGTTTCGATTATGGCTCTCATGAACTTAGTTTTCTTGGGGAAGTTATTTAATTTAAATTAAAATCGTACATCCTTTCTTTTATTATGATTGAAACTTTCTTCTTGCTTTATTACTCGTCAGGGTTATATATGTTAATTAGTGTTTATAGTCTCCTTATTCTCAATCATTATGCATACCTAGAAATGTATGTTAAGTGAACAAATGCTAAATAACCTTCCTTTTTCTGTCTTGTTTTTCTTTCTGAAAAAATTTTGTCCAAGGATTGTAAGTGTCTCTCCTACTCCCCTTATAAATACGTGAAAATGCATCAGTTTAGATGAAATGGACCAATTAGTTCTTTCTAGGTGGTGGATGGGTTTGATAAAATGAAGAGAGAGAGAGAGAGAGAGAAACTCCTTTAATTGATACCCCTCTTTAGTCTTTGGCACATATATCTAATTTGAGAAAAAAAAATTTGAGAATGCAAGTAAATTTATTGGGAAAATCATACTTTTACAGCCTCAACTATGGCCCTATTTAACATTGATCCTTCAAGTGTAGTATTTTTCACATTATGCCCCAACTATTTTTAGTAGTTTCACATTGTTGTGTTACTTTGCCCCCCGATATTTAATGTTGTTTCACATTTCCTAAAATCTATTAATGTGTTGATATTTTCCATCAAAAATACAATGGACTGGAATAATGTAAAACCTATTCAAGTAGTTTGGGATAATGTTAAAAACTCAAGACTAGAGGTGGTATAAGAGCCATAGTTTAAGGGTTCAACATGTAATTTCTGAAAATTTATTTGGGAATGCTTAGGCTGCTAACCATGTCCTATTTCTTCTCTGATGTAAACATGTTCTTTGGTGTTGGTTTTATCCTTATTTCTACAGCTCCTGTCCAAGAGTTCACCAAATTGGATGGCATGTCCTGCTCTTCAGTTTGATTGCTTCCTTTGTTATTTTTAGTAACTAAAAATTTTCTTATCAAACAACCCAAAAAAACCAGTTACATATAGCAATTTTGGCAAAATTTAGCAAATATGGGATTAACAGTTATCCATCAAATAATACTTTAATTTTTATATTTTCCCTTGGAAGCAAACTTTTCTCTTATCTATGTCACAATCAATCTTGTGATGCTTTGTTAATTGATCAACTTTGCCAGGGTATTCGAAAAAGTAAAGAATTTGATCAGGGTACCTTGTTACTTTGATCTTGTGCTACTAAACTTTTCACTGTTTGGCTTTCCTTAAGCTCAAAGGTTTCCATCATATTGTTGCTTTTCAGAATCAAAAAAGCGTATGCTTTTCTTGATATGAGACACCATTGTCATCCTCTTTGTTTTTGCTTTTAAACTCCTTGTTTTACTGTAATTCTTGTATATCTGTCTCATTCTATTTCTCATATTCTTCGGATCACAGTAAAATGGTGGATGTGGAATTCAAGGGCAGTGCACATCGAATTAGAAAGTGTGCATTCGACTTATTATGTATAGGGGATGATCTGATGGATGATGATGACTCATGGGATTTGATGGGAAGGGATCTTCAGCTCAAATCGACATTCTTGTATTGTGATTTCAATAAGATGATTTCCAGCGCTCCAAATAATCAGAAGAAGGCTCTCACAGACCTTGCCAATAAGCTATTTTGCTCCATTGAAGAGGTATTCTATTTCTTTTTCTTTTCTTTTTGCAAAATAAGATTAACAATTGTTCATCTTTTAAATGTTGGAGTCAGTTGCCTCTTTAAACACAGTTTGTTGCAAATACATGATGGACAAAAGAGAATAACATATAACCATTTAGGGTTGGAGGAACCATCATGTAATGCATTTCATGACATCACAATCATGGAGAGATCGGAAGTATTAAATGATTGGGTCATTTGATCTTAAATGAATATGTTGTTTACTGTTTACGCATTTATTTCTAGAAAATTCCAGCAATGAATCCTACATATCAAAGAATGGTAAAATAGTCATGGTAGATGTTTGATTACCTTATTCTATTATAGTTCTGCAATTATATGAATTGCCTTCGTTCTTAAAAGATTGGGAGAAATTAATACAAGAGTCTTCAGGATTCTGCATTTTGTGGATTTCTTTTCATTCATTAATCATCAGATAACAGGCAAAAGACCGCCATGAATTTGGGTTTTGTTAGTCACAAATCACCTTGACAACCAAAAAGGCAAAAAGAAAAGAAAAGGGGTCACAATTCACTAGCTATCTTTTTTTAATTTCTTGGGATGCCTTCCAATGTTCCCTCGTACATGATGTGCCCATTAGGTTCTTTTTTACTTTTACTTTTATAATACATACTACACATCATTTCAACTCGGTTATAATTTGAATCACCCGCAAACTAACAAATTAAGCTTGATTTTACAAATAAAGTACAAATTTGTAATCCAAGTAAATATTACCCATCAAAGGAAACCGAAGTCATCAACAGAGCAGATTAAAATCAAGTGTTTTTTTAAAGCATAGATTGGAATCAGGTTTAATCAATGGTTTTCATGCTATTATAATGGTTCTCCTTCGATAGTGAATTTACTTTGCACTGAATTGGCTCTTTAGTTCTCTGGCCAGATGGGTTTTTCCTCCTTGGTATCACTGATGAGACTATTATGTGTTGTTTCAGTTGGATCATGCAGTAAAAATCCGAAGCATTCATTTGACCAATGATCGATACAATGAGGCTGCTGTCATCTTACAGGAAGTGATGGCACTTATGCCTTCAGACACTTGATTTTAGCTAAATTTGTGTATATATGGGAGAGTGAAGTTTGATCTGAGGTTATTGATGTAATAACGTGTTGGAAAACTGTCTAAATAAAAATGGTAAATTATGAGATAACAAAACTGTGACATTCAACAACGGTTTTTTAATCACCTTATGGATTGTTTACTCCAAAACATATATTTTTGGCCCACCAAAATATATGAAATCACTATCTAGCGAATTTCAGCATAAAACATAAAGAAATGTCCCTAAATTCTTCGGCCTCTTTATTAGTTCAGAAATTATTTATTCTTCATTTTTTTTTTAAAAAGTTGTCCCATAATTACTATGCTAAGTAAGAGAGAGACAAATCAATATGCCAATAGTCTGCCATCTTTTTTGACCTGTGGGTCTTACTTCTTGGATTGTACAAATCAACATGGTTTTTATTTATTTATTATTAATCGAGAAGCGGAACTTATAGTTTCAACTCTTAGTCGAACGAGTTCGAGTCGAATTCGGGTTGAGGTTGAAAAGTTTGCTTCTTAATCGAGTTTAAAAAATTGTTAAAATTTGACTCGTTTAAGAAATGAGCCAAGCCTGAATGAGTCTAAAATAAGTCGAGCCCGAACATTTGTACATAAACGAATCGAGTCTGTTGAGTTTGAACCTAACTTGTATGACTTGTTTTCTAAACGAACTTAAAAACTTGTTCAAGTTTGGATTTGTTTAAAAAACGAACCGAACCAAACCTGAACGAGTCAAACTTGAGCTAAGCTCAAGTAGCTTAATTTGATTAAGAGCCCTACCTATGGAGTGATTAATGATGTAGCAAGTGTATGTTTTGGTCAACATTTTTTTTTCCCAAGTAATTAGGATTAATAGCATTTTATTTACCAGTTGAAGAATTTTACTGAACAAAAATCACATTGTCCTTTTAGTTTTTAAATATATTTTAATGTTTTCCAATTAGTAAACGAATTGGAAAATTTCTGTCTGTAAACACTTCAAGTGCCATAAACAGACATATTCCCCCAAAACTGTGCCATACACATGTTGGGTTAAATATGCTTGAGAAACAGATATCTAGAACCAACAAATCCAATGTTTTAAGGATGAGGGCTGGGCTACCATAACCATCCCCCGAGGTACTTTGCCCAACTTTCATTTACACCGCTAATTTTGATTTAAATAATTTGTAATTATTAATTAGAAATATAATAAAATAATTTAGACCATTAATTTTGATTTAAATAATTTATAACTATAGATTATAAAATAAAATTATTTTTTATAATAATAAGAAATAATATATTTTTTCTAAAATATTTATAAGAAATAATTCCTAAAAATACTTTTAAAAAATTACTCCAAACACACCCTTAGGGCCCTATTTTTTTCTATTAAATTTAGAGTTTTAATAATAGCCGTTAGATTAATTTTAAAGTAAAATCTAAAGCGATCTCAACAGCGAATAGCAAAAATCATTTTATTTATCTTTTGAAATTTGAATTATAAGCTACTTTATTATATAAATATTTGTTAAAAGATAAAAATTCAAAAATAGAAAAATAATAAAAATATGACACAAAGAAAAATATAATATGATTCGATACAGCATACTCACCTTAGTACACCATACCTACATTTATAGATCAAGAACATACATCGATGTAATATTCATTGAAAAATTGATTATCTGGATTACATTATAAACACCCCTATTTATAAGGATAAAAATACTGTAACTCAAATCTATTCAGATACAATTTAATTTTTATGTTTCCTATCACATGTCTAATGTATATATTCATGCTATATTAAAACTCTTCCAATATAATCATATTTCATATACGATTCTAAGATTGATTACCTAACAAACTTTCATTTATAACAATTAGAGAATTTTGGTCAAATTCCAACACTTTCCTTAGACCCAGTTGGTCTATCCAATCTTTTGACTCAACTCTTTTTCTATTTTATTTTTTTTTATTCTTCCTCACTCTTACGGCGTCGTTTACATTCATATGTCTATGAGCCCCCGGAGAGGAGCTCATCCATACTTGTATGGACGTGCCTTCAATAGGGAAAAAAGAAAATGGGAAGGTTGTAAGCCTCCCGTGAAGTCAATCAAAGCTACTTTATCATCTAAATTTTCTATCCAAGGAGATACTCTGTGAATTAGTTTACATAGTCACTTTACGACTCTCCTCTACCCCGCTTAAGCTTTGATGGTGTTGAGTAGGTTACCAATACGATCATTCAGCGAGCAATGCCTTGGTCTCAGTCTCACTGATCTCGTGTAGGTGATGGATCGTGTTTATTGGCTTCTTGGATAAATTATCCCCACCAAAATCCATGGATTGTGCAATGACTATTGTGTTGTGATATAAGTTTTTGATCCTACGAAATAGCTGATGTTGAAATTTAGATTACCTCTATGTCTGCTTAACTATCACCTAGAAAAGAAGTTGGAGATAAGAGGAGCTCTGGGGATCGATGCTGCAATGCTCAAGTTTGTAAGATATTCAAAGGTATTGAATGCTATAAGAAATTGGGAGAAGCATACCTTATGCATGGCTTGGAGCTTTATCAATAGGTGTTTTAAGTGATTTAAGTTAGGAGTAGAGCCTGTTAATCCCAAATTCGATTAGGATTTGGCTTCTACCGCTTAAGATAGGCTTTATCCTTTTTTTCATTTTTTCAGTGGTCAAGAGTGTTCGAACTAACTACGTACACTTCGATTAATTCGCTCCCTGGTCCGGTCAAAAATAGTGACATGCTCTTATAGAGTTGCTAAAATTCAAACACAGCATATATAAGTTTACAAATCATCCTGTTAACCACTCGGGGTTACATTTATCCTCATATGTTAGGTTCAATTTATCTCGTGTATAGATTCACTATCTTTTTTCTGTAAGGATTAAGCCTCTTTCAAGGCCGGGCTCAACTGATTGAGGTGAAATGAGCTGCGTGGAGCTGGCCTTTGGATTAGAGCTCTTCTTTTGGCAAAGCTGGCCTTAGCATCTCGTTGACTTGTCACAAACTAATACGATCGGAGAAAAGACAAAAACGTGTCGCCACTATGGAACGTTCATACTCTTTCACAAACTGTATCACAATACCTTCGTTTAGAGGGGGCTATGTGTACTGCATTCATACTCATACTCGTTATCTAGAGAGTCATGGTGCGGATCTTCAACGATGACCTAATAATGCAATTTAATAAACGTCTTCATTGTACAAATTTGGATAAAATTAATAAATTGAAAATCCTAAATATAAACATAGAAATAACATCATTTGATATGAAGTACAACTTTTCAACACTACGCATGCATACAAATAATTAGACACCCATAATGGAATCATACATTAATAAAATAAAATCCTACGGTGGCTATGCAGAAAAAGGGGGGGGGGGGGGGGGGGGGGCATTTCACCAATGGAAGTGGCACTCCAAAATACAATAATTTGACTCTATTGTAACATGTCCAAAACAAAGCATAGGCACATTCCAAAAAACACTTTCCATTGCTATAAAATGTTAAAACTTCATGGGAAGGTGCAATGTGGACACACTGTGTGATAAATTTCTATGAAAGGAAAACATAAACATGATAAATTAGCGCAGCTGGACTTGGGGTGTAGTGGAGCTTTGAGAAAACCACTGAATAAGGTGGCTAACACCAATCACTGGTTTACACTGTTGGTACTTAATTCATTAAGATGTTTCCTCAGAGCTACCATAATGGTAAAGAAACTGCTGTTTGTGACTTGCTGCATTTCAGTCTTGGTTTTTTGATATTTCAATTTCTTGAAAACTCCCACAAACACAAATTGGTTCAATTAGTTTCTTTCAATTCCACCAAAAAATAAAAATAAAAACTACATTTCCAATGAATATTGTTTCCTTAGAGACAAAAACATGGGAACTTGAGTTAGGAAATTCTACTGGCATATTTTTCAAGGAAAGCTGATGAGGATCATGCCTTCAAGAATTTGACCATGTCAAACCTGTGCGTGGACCTAATAATAACCAATAAAAAGCCACAAATGCTATAACATTCTACTTGGGATAAATCAAAAACCAAATAAGTGTCCACTCCAAGATTTCTGATCTCATAAAACTATATACACAAAGCTGTAACTCCACATTTGGCTTAAAGTTGATTATCTGACTAAAGACTCTTTGCCTGGTCCCAACTGATGATGATAGGTCTTTGCATTATTATGAGCTGTTGCTTGGGTTCGGTATCTGGCCAAGTAAACAATTCAGCTTCCAAAAATGGGATCTCTACAGATATTCTTATTCTGCGACCCAATGTGTGATGACTATGTTTGTACACAAGCAAGAAAGAGCTCCTAACAGCTTCTTATGCATTTACAACAGAAAGATTTCTGTACTTACACAGACCTGGTGTATCCAAACTCATTTTCGAAAATTTTGCATCAACATCCTGGTTCCTGCTTCAGATGGATCCCACTTGATGAGCCAAACAGCATAGTCTGGGGACAGAAATAAAGAACTGGCAATTATCACCACATACTCATTGACCTACAGTTTCTTAACTAAAACTAGCTTCAAGAAGGAAGAGGACAACATCAAAAGAAGTTCAAATCTGAATTCAAAGGAATTTTTTTTATCAACTAAAAGTTTATATTCATTCGTAAGCAATGCATTCATTTCATTCAAATGGTTATAATATTAAAATAAAGGGACCATTAATTATCTCGCAAATTCAATCAACAAAACTATACATTGCACAAGTAGGCATGATGTGAGAAATTCAGTTCATGTTTTAGAACTCAGTAAGGAACATCCTCAAATCACCACTTTTGCATATGCTATTTAACATGTGCCACAGTGGCTGTATGCATTTTTCCCGGTTTTTCTTCTTTTGTTCTTTCTTTGGTGGGGTGGGGGGGAGGGGTTTATCATCCATGTCATCTAATGAATTGGACAAGAACTTTTTATTATGACATACTTATAAAATTTGAAAAAATCATAAACTTCAAATGAATCTTTTCAACTTGAAATTTCTTTATTTTTTTTTTTTCCGATTTTAAATAACGTCCAAATTCAAATTGATTACCAAATACATGTGTTTCTATTCTTGTGAGGCCAAAA